GCTTAATAGTCATCTTCCTGATGAATTTATATGAGGAATACATTCTGATTTTACTAAAAAATGCTCTGACGAGAAAAAAATTTGACGTTTAATTTATTAATTAAGCAATGAAAAAGGTAGTAGCTATGAAAGCAGCGAATCGTAATACAGACAACATGCTAACATTGACCATTGGAAAGTTCGGTAAATTTTATAAAGTCGAATGAGCCGCTAAAGAAATTAAACAAAGGCTAAGTAAATTCAAAATAACAAGCATCCCAAGATAATGTAAGTTCTAGATAGGCAAACTTGCAAGCATCAGGCTTTGAGGATTTTTGTTGTGGGTATTCGCTCCGTGCATGACACGCAACGCCGCCCTCGGTGTCAGAATCGCGCAATACCGTACCCCCGTATGATTAAATCGTAACACTGTCGCTTATAGGAGAAAGTATTATTTATTGAATAAGACGTACATACTGCTATCGCGTAAACATCAGCACCCAAAAAAATGGATATGATTATCCAAACAGGCTTTAAAAGTTTAAGTTGCAACATAGTTTTTAATAATGAAACGCTGAAAAAAGCTAAAAAATTAGTAGAGAGTGGGCACGTTGCCTACGTACAGGAATATGTAAATAAAGGAGTCGGTCATCTGATCAATTGCTATGTTGTGAGACAAACATCTGTCAGCTTAAATCCTTACAAAGTAGAATTATCTGTAAGCCTATGCTTGACAAATGTAGGTTATGGTAACATATACATAAATGTGTAATTTATTTATCAGATTAACGAAGACCGCTGTATCTCCAACGTGAGCTGACAGCTCCTTCTGTTTTGTTTCATGGGGTCTACTTGGGAATTTATACAGCACCACCCCCTGCTTTTCTTCCTTGTTGCAATTAACAACGCAGCACTGTCTCGTACGCATTTCGTTACTTTGTAAACGTAAACACTGATTCAGATTATACAGCTAGCGGCAGCCTATGTCGACTGCTTGGAGTTCTTGCTCACACGTATACAACATTACAGATAAGTATGTGTGTTTTGTACTGTATGACAGATGATAACGTTTTTTTTATCCCCTCCAACCTGATGCACGGAGCGAATACCTGTGTCTCTGACGTCGGACGCGTGACATTATACAGGTAATACAGGGGGAAAAAGACACAAACACATTGGTTCGCTCTCCGTTGCTGAATGTGCCACATGTGCAGCCATGCGGGACGAAGAAAAAAACACCGATGTACTAGCGTAAGTACCTATTTTACACACAAGAATGTTCACGTCGATCTGTTCGCGGGAGATAAAGAGAGACGCTTCCTTATACATGATGTGCTTATTGTGTGATAATAACTCGCGTACAATGTAATCACCTTCGCGTGCCAGAGCAAGTTTTTAAATACACGTGCAAGTGTATACAAAGACCCGCGCGTACATGTATATATAGGTGATGCGCGATGACTGCGTGCCGGCTCGTTGCTCTTGATGCAAAAGGCTGCTAAAGTTTTTTTTTATGTTTTGGCAAGGTCGTCGCAGGTGCTTCTGTATTTTTCTTTTTTTCTGTCAAAATTAAATTGACGCACGTAACTCGGCTATACCGTCGGCTCCGAGATAAAATTTCTACACTCGATTGAATAAATGTATAATAATTACGAGCGGGTCGGTGCCAAGTGTACAACGCACTCTTTAATACATCAGGTGTACGTGACGCGTGAGTCTTCATTACTTTCGGATTATTTTTTTGTTCGCCGCGCAAGTGTGCCGATTACCATGAGAGACTGTACATATATAGGTTGTTTTTTTTTTTGTTTCCTTTACGGTAGCGTTAATTAAATGTGGGATTTATCCGGGGGGGGGGGGGGTATAAAAGGCTCCTCATTACAGCGGCAGCTTGCAGCCGGTTGTGTGGAAGTAATCCTTCTCTCTCGGTGTTTATTTTTTACCCCCTTCGCCCTTTTCCCGTCACCGCTCGGTATATAATATGTACAGCGGGAGCTTTTCCGTGCGCTCTAATGGTGTAATTGCACGCGAGGGAAAAAAAAAAGGGTAGGGCATTTTTTTCCAAGTTTTTGAGAAAGAGAGTAGGTTACACGCTTTTTTCCCCTTCGTTCTTTCCAAGGGTTTTTTTTAACAAGATATATATGTGTACACGGGCTCTTGTCGAAATGGGCGACGGCAAAAATCTCGGTTCGGATCACTCGAGGCGGGAGATTGATGGAATCATCGGCCTACACGCCGTGTATTTAGTGCTGAGGACGCGGTCAAAGTAGATTGACTTTCGCTTCCGGAACGAGACATATACTGCAAGTTTAGCTCTGGGGAAGTTGGATTGTTTTTTTTTTCCACGCATAGTACCAGTTAAAGGTCGGTGTCATCCGCGCGAGGCCGACCACGTTGCCTGAGTCGTTTGTTTTATCGTTCTAAGCTTTACCACATCTTGAGGGATAATGACTGTTGTTATCACATTTTATTGTACGAGGCGAGAATGTAACAAGTCGAGCGATCAACAACTGCATCGATTGTCCTATACGTGAGCGAAAGTGTACTAAAGTAGGTACCTATTAGTTAAAACTGGGGCTTAAATAAGTAGCCGTCTGTTGTTGCTCGATGAGACAATTGTATCTAATGGCACTCTCTCAAATAAGATTGACGGTAAAAAAAAAAAAAAAAAAAATCAATCTGCAAAAAAGTGCTTTCAATATTTGTTGTCTTTTAAAGCGAGATTACATTTGAGGGAAAATAATTAACACAACAGCAAGGCGCCAAATAAAATTTGTATCTGTTTTTTTTCATCCATATGAATAAGGGGACTTCTGATTGTACAATATTATACATGGTGCCGCAAGCAGCACAGAGCAGGGTTTAATTTTACACCTATACGGGTAAATTAAAAATCTCTCTCATCTGTTAATACTCTTACATTACATATATACAATACTCTACAGTAGCTGTTGATTTATATTTAAAAATAGAAGCCAATCAAGATAACGTACGCATTGTATACCATACAATAGGGACGGCGCATGAGAGATGGGCTAGATTGCTTGGGTTGCAAATACTTAATAAAATGAAATGCTCTGCATCGCTCCGCAGCATCTCCGCAGTGTACACATTTTTTTTTCATTTAATTTTTTCTTTTTTTTCGTGTATTAACGCACACTCTGTACACGTGGAGTTAACCTCAAAACTGAGACGTTTTTTTAATTCTCTGTTATTGTTTTTTTTCTTTGCGTCGTCTGCAACTGTTGGGCAGATATATATATATGCGTATACGTATAGATATACTTGGAAAAATAGTGAAAGAGAGAGAGAGGAAGAGTAACTGTCGTGTCAGTCGTGTGCGCGGGAGCGGGACGAAGGACTAAAAATCGATTCGCCCTCTCTCGACACACCACTAGCCAATATAAATATGAAGGGTACACTTGCAACTCTTGCTCATCTGCTTTAACTGCATCACCATCATTTATTTAATAAGTATAATACATACTTATAAAGTGAGTATTCCCAGATACAATAGTCAGAAAAAGAATATACTACTCACATTTTTGGTTGATCCGTCATCTTGGCAGTTTATTGTATCACCGATGATGGGACAAAGTTCCGTAGGCTGTAGGTATACGGTTCACCAGCTCCTGGTACGGCGTGTCTTAGTTTGATAGGGCAAAGAGGAAAAAGCGTTTCAGCTTTTTCAAAAAATTTTATCGAACCCTCGAGCGGATGCTGCAACGCAACGTAAAATGTGTCACGTACTCATACAGGTACAACAACACATGTACACGCGCGAGAAACCCTGCAGCTTTTAAATTGTCTTTTGCATCTGTAATAAACTTTTTATATACTTTACGAGCTCCTCCTCGTCGTGGCTTCCGTCGTCGTCATCACCGCTGCTTACCATACATCGGGAGACTGATTCTTTTTAATCACCACTTCTCCTCCGACTCCGATCCGCAGCAGCTGCTGCTGTTTGTTTTCCGAATAACATTGGGTTGATCGTTGGTTTTTACCATCCACTCGAATGACGTTTCGGAGTTATTCGGATACAAAACTATACATACAGCAGGGCACAGGCATCATCACTTTGACGAGCTAATGTTTTGCCCGGCACACATGCATATAAGTACGTTGATCTGCAGAAGATGCACTTGCAGTTTTCAAGTTGAAAATAACAACAACAACCACAACTTTAATTAAGTGTCCATACTGAAGATCCTAAGAGCACTGAGCGCGACAAAATATACTTGTAACCTGGGTCAACACGCCCCATCACCACCATACCACCCACGATACGCTGCAGCAGAACTGCACTTTCTTCTTCCAGTATACTCTTTCATACTAAACTCATCTCCTCTCTTTTCATGGTGTGTGCAGCCAAGATTCTGCGCGCAAGACGCTGCGTAATGCTGCTTTTTCTCGCGTTATCGTGTATTTTTATAGTTTCTGCAACGCGTGTGTGCTCAATTGTCGCGAATCTCTCTCGCACGACTATACATCAGAGGTGGACAGTAAAAAAAGAGAACACTACACCTATATATATATATATATATACCTAACGCGCGCGCCCGGTCACGCACCATCGATCGCCCTTCTGAAAGCTGCTATTTTCTATCTGCCGGCTTTCAAGTTTATTTTCGTTTTAAATGTCTCGGAGATGATGCGCTGCTGTCATATCAATTGTTGACCTATTGTAATCTACATTGATAGTGCAGGAACGATGTTACAGACACCCTGAACTTGGCACTTTATTGGCTTATAAATGATAATAGGTAGAGGTAAAGCTTTGGAGAGGAGAGAAAAATTGAAGACACGCGACGCGAAAGTACTATATTAACAGATCAGCTTCCTCGAATGTTGACGAAACAATCAGCTGCTCTGCAGCTCAGCTTCTGTGGACTGCTGACGACATCTGTCGGTAGCCTGAGATTAGAAATCAGAATATTCAGGATGGAGGGCGTTTTGTTGAATTTTTGGTTCTTTTTTCGGAATCTCAATTGTTTTATTACATTAGCAGACAAATATTTTTTTTAATATTTATTTTCAACATAATAATTTTTATACTCGTCGCAGATTATCATAACTCTGGGTTTCTGATAAAAATCATATCTGGTAATATTAAGAAAAAAAATCTATCAACTGTCCTTTGGTACGGGAATTGTTGTATATCCACGTTAGCGCTACAGATGTAAGAATTCATCAAGGAACTAATTTTTACTTGTCCTTTTTCGATTCACTGTCTTCGTAGGGTGATGGTGGATCCTGAATTAAAAAATGCTCGTGTTAAAAAAAAAAATAACTATAAGACATTCGTTATATTAGATTTTTAAGAAAGGATTGTGAAGGACAGGAAAACTCAATACCTATTTAATACTATCTCCAAAAATAGAATTTATTTTTTTTGTGATTCGTAATTTCAATTTTGGAATCTGTGGAATCCACTAGTCTCACGATTTTCGTATCATCAAATTTATCTCTCACAAACGTCATATCACGAGTACTTTCATTATTTTCAGCGCTTTTGTTTGGTTCTAAGGAGTTGCAACAGTTTATCTCATTATTCCTTTATCAATCAGTTGATAAATTTTAATTTTGTGTAACTATTATTTAAACTGCGATTAAAGATCAAGTTTTTTTTTTAACATGGAGATTAAATGTGAAAAAACTTAAATAATTATTCACGTATTGAGAAAAGGTAGGAGAAAATTTTCAGGATGATCGGGAGTTTTAAATTAATTTAAAAATCCACCTACATCAGTTAAATCTTTAATAGCCTGAGTAGCTTTACTATATAGCGTACCAACAGCTGAAGCCGCTGAACCTGCAGCACTACCAGCTAAATTTTTTAATTCTGAAAAATTGGTAGGGACTTTTGGTAGGTGTGGCCAAGATATTTCAAGTTGACTTTCGCCTCCAGGTTTCACTATGGAACAATTTTTCAGGTACATAATTTTCATGTAATTTTATAATTTTTATGAATGAACATTTCTGACTTACCACCGTAAAAAAAGTTATATCCAACATTAACGTAATATTTTGCTATTATCACTCCTTCTTGAGCCTGCTTTGGATAACAAATTGATGCCACTGCTAATGCACCTGTGCTGGTATAAACAAGCTTCTTAAATTTGCCTCCCCTCAAAGCTAATATCAAGCCAGATAAACCACCTAATCCAACTGCACCGATTCTGGGGAGCACATTTGATTCTTCTCTCAAGTAATCAAGTGTGACTGCAATGAAGTAGATTGCATGAAAACACACATTTTGTATGTAAAGTTGAAAAAATTGTGTTGTATTATACCTTGACTGTGTGCTTTGCCAGTTTCTATTGTATTCGTTATAACAGCTGTGTAGCCCGTAAACTGTTTAAAAAACTCTTGCACTGATTTCCTGACCATTCCAAAGTTTTGCTCCAAAACACCTTCTTCAGTTTGGACACTGTTAAAAACGAGCATTAAGTGTTGGTTAAAAATAAGTATGGCTCATTACTCATTGACGCAAGTCAACACGTCTTATTTAGATTTATACTTGGCATACGGCTTGAAAAATTTTTTTTATCTGTACAGTATGAGAATTACTTTTTGTTTACCATGGAGGTTCCCTAGACGCAGGCTTTTCAAATGTGTAAATCGGTAATTCGGAGGGTCGTACGAGGTTCTTGGCTTGATCGTCGTTGCTTACATTAACTGGTTTTTCATCCGGTTTCGGTTTCATGGTTGGAACAGCGGCACACAGACCACAGGGCATTAAAAATTTCTTGAATAACTTGAACAAATATGCAAATTAATTTTCGATGACACAATGCGTTACTTTATAACATTTTTTTTTTTTTTTTTGACATTTTCCATTAAACGTTGAAGGTTAGGTAAGCTACGTCAGGTTCTTGTCGTGGTAAAAAAATATATCACCTTTATTCCGTTCATCATGGATAAAACTTTCAACTTAACGGACCACTGAACTTTTATTTAAACGACTTGGAGCATTTTTTAATAAAAAATGTGGCCTAAGACAACATCAAAGGGTCTCATTTCTAAAATATAAACTAATTATCAATGATCAACCGCGAACTAGACTCTCTCGGAACTCGAAGTAAAAATTGTGAAACTGTACAGTTGGGACATCTGCAGTTTAAATTTTACAACTCACACAACTGCATATAATTATGTCTTCGCGAGAAATTTTTTTTTTTTTTTATAAAATACCGATATTTTTTGAAACATTAGATGTATAACTTACCTTTGCACGAATGAAAAATAGACTTATGGATGTACAGCTATGAAATATTTATTTTCAATAATTCGCGACACACTTGATCAAAAGTTAAAAAATCAATTATAAAATCTGAAATAACAAAAAAAAACGTGTACTTTTAAATGTGTGAAATACAGAAAAAACAAAATAGAATTGATCTGAGATGTTGATTAAAAACAAGAAAAATAACTTCAGATTGTTAATTTAATACATGACCTAAATCGACGACTCGTGTTTTTTGATTTGATTATTGAGGTAGTAAAAATCTAGTAATAACATGCAAGAGTCAATTGAAACAACTGTTTTCTAAACATACTTTAACTTGGGTCCTACCGATTTCAACTAAAACTCCTGGTTGGTAAGCGTCGCATCGGTGAATCGGTTCTCTGCACGTGACGTCTTTACCAAATATGTTTCCGATCGTACGATCTAAGATTTTATGAACGAAATCTCGCATTGTGTAATTATTTTTCTTTTTCTTTGCATGTAGTTTTCCATAAAAAATATTACTAGAATTTTTATTGGATCTTTTTCATAAAAAATTTAAGTGGTTAATGTGTTTTTGTAAGCTACTTGAAGTTGTATTTAGTTGACTGTTCAAATACTTTCGATTTCAGTAAAATAAAATGAAAATCCAATAAATAATTATCAACACTACGGGAAAGCGTGCTATAAAAAAATACATACTTATATTGTACGTCTATATTTTCAAATAAACGATATCGTGTAGGAAAATAAAATGAATCAAACGCTTCTTTAAATTTTGATTTTTTTTTTTACAAAATTTATTAGTTTTGAAAAATCTTAGTTCAAATTTTAACATAACATGAACACAAGTATCAATACTATTACCTAGTGGCACATTGCATAATGTTTAATACAATGAAAATTCGAATCACGACAATCGAAACAATTTGATTCAAGCACGACACGACATCTTATCAAAAATACTCATTCAAATATCAATTCTTTCAAAGTAAAACAGTTTATACTATGATGTCTTGAGATAATCGCCGGCTTTTAATTGAATATAACGTATAAATAATTTTTTAATCTTTAACAAAGAAATCTTCAAGATTTATTCACACAGTATCTTCACAATGTTAGCATCGTTGACACTGTTCAAATGCTGTTAAACTCGTAATCGATAAAATATAAATTAGTAACGTGAAATTCTTTAGAAATCACTTGTGTTGTTATATTTTCTATGTTGACAACGAATGAAAATTCTTCAACAAGAAAATCAAATAGTTTTTCGCCTCTTGTGATGCAACAATATTCCTCGAAATTTTATGTACAACTTAAATGTAATACGTAAGCTAACGAATCCTCAACAGTCCGGTAATATCAGTCTATTGTTTTAAATTGTAGCTGGAACACAATAGTAAAAATTTGTTCAAGTTGTTGGTGGTTTAGCAGCGGTAGCTTTCGTTTCGTCTACTTGAACTTTTTGACAGTAGCGGTTAAGCGTTATTTGTATCGTCTGATCGGAATATCGACAATTTTCAGCACCACAAGTGCACGTAAACGATTTGTACTTTATTATCCAAAACTTATCACCATAATCAAAACTGAAATATTTTAAGGCACTGGAATAAATCCAAATATTTGTCAATTATACTTGGCGAATTGACGGGATTACGTACCCTAATTCTTCGTCTGCGTTAATATCTCTGTTAGCGAAAAATGCTATTCGCGGAAAACGAAGATCCTGATGGTCAATGTACACTCTGACTGGTAGTAAATTGGGAGAGCAAGAGTGATTAATGAAACGTGCTAAATTTCCATAACGCTTCGCATCGATGCAATAAGTTTCTCCATCCTTGTTCATTAAAACACAAAGACAAATGTCAATAGCTTTTAAATTGGTATATTACTTATAAGTATTGCTATAAAAAATTTTTCAACTTACTCTGTTGTCCAAATCGAACAAATACGAATCGTCTTCTCGGACGTCAGCTTCAGAATCTGATATTATTTCGCCGACGTACTCGCAAACATACGTGCCCTTGGTAATGTGACGAAGGGTTTTCAAGCCCCACCCTTTTCCATCGGTCCGAAAAAGCTGAAACCGCTGGGTCATACCGTGTTGAACAACTCGATTGTTACAACTTATTTTATTGCAGTCACAGGCAGGATTGCATTCAAACAACATTGGAGGATCTGAAATTTAAAAAAAATATGTGTGACTGTCATGATGACACAAGTATATATTGGAATGGTAAAGTTACAGGGTCCTTAATTACCAGAATAATTGAATTCAGGTACGAGTTTTCCCTCCTCGTTGTACCAACAACGTAGGCTGATATTACCGCAAAGACATTTGTCCGAATTGCAATTGTCTTCGCAGTGGCAAGACTGTAATGACGTTATCGTCCGATCGACGTTAATTCTACTTGTGAAACAATTTTCCGTCACGTAAATGAAATCTGTTGGTTTATCTTCCGAATCCACGCCATTGACACATTGGACGGGATTAGATTCTTTTCCTCGCGTTATATCGCTGCAAAAAAGTTAAAAAGATAAGTATAATTTTTTAAACATCAAAAAAGGATTGTCATCACTTACTTTGTCAATATCTTGACCGTTTTCTCATTTATGTTTTCGGATCGCTGATTAAGTTTGAAATTTAATTTAAGTACGCTCAAGGTATCTCCGACTCCGGTGCAGCAATCTATCGCCGTTTCTTTCAAGTTATTCTTTTCTCGGATTTTGGCACCTCTCGATAATAACAAAACACAAACGGAATACTGATCTCGTCGCGATGCTATGTGCCTACGAGAGAAATAAATATTCAGTCAAATGGAAAAATTGTACTGCGACGTAACTAGGCTTATTTTTGGTGAATTGGAAAAATTCTTACAACGGGGTATCGCCGTGAATGTTGACAACATTAGCGTCACAGCCAAAATTGAGAAGCATTTCCGTGATTTCATGACTACCACTGTACGCGCTCCAGTGGAGAGCGATATTCTGTTCAGCGTCTCTGATCAGCGGATCACATTTATTGTCCAGCAAAAATTCGGCTATCTCAACGTGACGAAACTCGCAGGCCCAAATCAAACTGGTCCATCCACCGTCATCGACAGAATCTTCGATGGTAAAAATATTGTTTAATGTTAAGCTCAAAATCAAGGTCACTCTCAGAGGATCGTAACATAAAATAAGCGATATTTACCTACTAGGGTCCTAGGTACCTTGGACTCGCTCAAAATAACTTTACAAACTTCCAAGTGTCCAGCTCTAGCAGCTATGTGCAGAGCAGTCATGCCATCCTCGCCCTTCAACGTAACATCGGCACCCACTCTCATCAAATATCGAACAACTTCAACTTTACCATTAACCGCGGCCAACATCAGCGGGGACCACTGGTTCCTGTCTAAAACGTCATACTGTGCACCAGCCTGAACGAGAACGTGCACACAAGCTAAAAAGCCTCTCTCTGCCGCCAAGTGAAGACCGGTTCGTTGGTCCTGATCGCGGAAAAAGTGATTCGCGTTGAACCCACAAGCTGAAATCATAAAGATCGTTAACCGTCGATAAACTCTGGCAGATTATCATTAGATTTATTTTGAAGAGCAGCCGGTTACCCAGAACATTGACTAATTTCTGCAGCTCTCCATTCTTGACGGAATTGAACAAGCTCATGATCGTGAAGCGTTCATTTTTGTCCACGACAGTCGGCTCAGGGATCCTAATGACGTCCGGATTAATGAGCGGCTCGGTCGATTTCTTCAAAGCCGGCGTCTGTCCAGCTAATTTGGAATTGTCCCCAGCGCCAGGTAGCGTTATCCGAGCAGCCGCATCTTTTCGGGCAACGAGTTTGCTAGATGCCGCTGATGCCGGTGCTGGTGGTGGTTGTGGCGTGGATGGTGTCGCTGCCGGGACATTGATCGGTTTGCGCTTGCCAGTCATCGTTATGATAACGTCGCATGATAGATTGTGGCTCCCGCAGTGCGGGCACAGGGGCTTGTTGCTGTAAACGAGCTCGCACTCGCGGTGGTACTGGTGGCCGTTGGAGCAGTGTACGAAGCGGCCCTGCGAGCAAAACAGACCACAGGTCGGGCAGCAGTTGTGTCGGATCAGTCTCTCTTTGTGCATGCGGCAGAGGATGATGTAGGGTATGCGGGTGCTCGGTCGTCGCATAGCCACGTCATCGTGATCGACTTCGTTTGTGCAGCTGACTATTCGCTTGTCTATGCAATCGTGGGCTGTGCAGTACAGAGGCGCATCCGCGCTCGTGATTGTTACATATAGTTGGGAACGCACCTCGCACAGGCATTGCATGGGTACTTCTTCTCTCTGGCCGGGAAATAATGGCATTTTAAGTTGTTGTTCTTGTGTTTTTTTTTATTTTTTTTTTTTCTAATACATATGTAAGGTACGTGTCTCTCGTATTTCAATTTACCTTGGTAGTTGTTCGCGTTTTCGTTACGACGGCTGTTGATTCAGGTTTGGATGCCACACCTTCAGCTGTACTGGGACTAGGGATCAAACTTCTACGACTCTTTTTGGCAGGTACCGCATTTTCTGTAAAATAATAGTATCTCGTTGTAAATTTGAAATTAGTACCACAAGCAAGATTTAAAATTAGCATTAACCTTCTAGAGCAAAATCTTCTAACGAGCTAGCAAATTCGCTTTTTGGACTTGGAGTTTCTAAAACCAGACAAATTAAGTTTTGAAAATTAAAATTATCAACTTGGGCAATGAATTCATTTGTATTTATAAAATTAATAAACACCTGAAAAACTGTTTCCTTTATGAATCTTTTTAACTCCATCAGTCGATGAGACTTTAGCTCTGTCCCTTTTCAATTTGATTGCATGAGGCTTTAAAAAGGGATCACCTACATTTTTCAACAATGATCCATTTTTTAAACTTGTACTACTGTTGCTTGATTCACTTGATTTGGATTTCATTCCTTCGATGTGTTTAATGATTGGCGTCAACTTGGGCATTTCCGCGTATTTGGTAAGCTTTGGAATACTATGTGCAGATGTGCCATTTACGTTATTCGACATACTTTTTATTAGTTTTAATGGACTTAATTTTGGCAGATTGCTATTTTTTTTTTCTAAAAGCGATTTTTGAGGAATTATGCGGTTCAACTTGGGAAGATCTTTTTTTTCCACAACAGATTTTGGAGAATTCGTGGGTTTTGGGGGATTTGTTACTTTTGGAGGTTCCACGGATTTTGGAGAATCATTGGATTTTGGAGGTACGGTAGGAATTAAATCTGGGACACTATCTTTTTTACTTTCTGAATCTGTCTTAGGTGGTACATCTACAGGAGTTGATTTTGAAGCCGACTCCGGGGGGTTCAACTTTGGTATAGGTTTCTTTTCTACAAAATTTTTTCTAGGCCTTCCAGGCTTATTGTATCGCCTCTTAATAGTTTCTGTAGTGTAATTTGATTTTTCTTTTCTCGCCATTGCACTTTCTAACACTGTACTTTTAAAAGTTTCTTTTGATAATCTTCTAGCAGAACGTTTTAATACTGATTCATCACTAAAATAATAAGATGTAGCTTATAAAGTAAACGAGGGAGAGAAAGAATGCATCGAATACATAAAAACAATGGAAAATAAAAATTTAATAACAACCTGTATTCCTTCAAAAGCTTGTCCTTGTTTTTTTTGGAATTTATTTTTGGCCCTTTGTAAGATTTCTCAATATCTTCAGTATCTTTGTCTGTTGCATTTTCCGTGTATGGGCTTGATTCTGCGCTATCGTTTGAAAAATTTGATTTTTCTGAGCCACTTATTTCCATTTCACTGGTTAGTTTTTTATCTCGATCTTTGCTTGCACCTGGTAATTCGTCATTTTTTTTATCATTTTTGATACACGTATCTTTGTCATCGGATTTGTCCGCATCATTACACTCTTCGTCGAAATTTTCAATTTTCACAGACACTCCACCAATTTGGTCACAATTGGAAAACTCATCTGGCACCAAAGACAAATTAGATGGACAACTGGAGATCTTAGTTTTTTTGCCATGATCTGTGTTTTCATCGATGGTCCTGAATGTCAACACTATTCTTGCTGGAGTAGTATTTCCGTCTTTTTTTGCGACTTCCGGTTTTGGACATGTTTCCTTGTCTTTTGGCGGCTTTTCAGTTTTTTTCTCGGGAATATTTTCCTTGACAACTTTGTTCTCCTCTCGGGGGCTGTTTGTACATTTTTGTGCTTTCAAAGTTTTGGCAGACTCCTCCGCAGCCTTGGCCTGAGGTTTATCCTGCTTGTGTGCTGGTGACTCAATTTTATTGATTTTTCTAGCCGGCCCTTGCTTTTTCGATCCAGTTTTATTGAACTCATTGGTCATGCCTTCCAGTATTTGTTGAATACTCAGATTGTCCTTGGAAGTCACGGTTTTAGAGTCAGTCGTTTGGGAACCTGACATTTTACTGGTCTCCACCTCTTCAGGCTCAGACATGCTGGTTGCTTATTATGTTGGAAATTTGTCTAAAGCACTCTGCAAAAAAAAAAAATATTTTAAAATCATTCATTACTTTGGCTCAACGATTGTTAATTATTTTCTTTCTTATATAGTTAACACGTTTGTTTATAATTAATTTATTATGCAGCACACGTCACACACAACTACATTCCAAAACTCGAAAATCAATTCACAATCATACGAAATCGTTAGTAAAAATCGTTTTTGTCTCGATTGAAAAAAAAAAAAAAAAAAAACCTATTATCACGAAAAGATTCCATGATTTAAACGCATTATTTAACAACAAATTCTCGGTTATTCACGTGACAAGGATAATAAATTCCGAATTTTCTGTAACATCAACTAAACAGTCGTCCAAATTCTATGTTACCTATAATAACTCGAGTACTCGAGTACTCGTATCAAAACGAGCTAAGTAAGAATCATGCCAGACTATCCCGATTTCATACCCCCGTTATGCTATAGAGAGATACATCACCCTCAACCTATAGCTCTTTTCACAATAAACTCGAAAAAACGAATTAAAAACGTCAATAACGAGAATTATCAACCCACCTAAAGAATATTTTGCTCCAATCAGACACTAAGTACCAGTAAAAACGCGTCCATCCTAATGAAGTAGGTACCTAAGTAAAGTAAGCGTATAAGTACGAGTAAGTGTTACCTACAAAACTTGATCAGCGCCAGTCCGAGCACTCGTCGCATCGTCGTCCGTCGAACCAAAAAAAAGTACACACAATCCGCGATCTACACATACATGGTACACTACGTCCCACGTAACAGAAGAGCAGTGAAAAAAAAAAAAAAAACTACCCTTAAGACTCGAGGAGAAAAAAAACGCGAGCAAAAGTATAGGGCCAGTGGGTAAAATATTCTGACATAAGTAAGTATCCGATCTCCGAGCAATGAGAGTGGTGTCAACGCGAGAGAGATCCGCCGTCACGGGCGCCGTTCGCCCCCTGTCGTCTGCCCGCAGCAGCAACAACCATGTACCTATCCACCCTATATACGCGATGAGCAACTCGGAGAAAAGGGAAAATATATTGAAAAAATGTAAAATAATTTTTTCTAGAAACGCTTAACGTACAGGTGTAAGTATAATGAAAAATGAGATGAAAGAGGTTGCGGGTGTGGAAATAAACACCAATAAGTTGGCCGAGAACGGAGCAAAAAAAAAAAAAAACAAAGGGGGTAAACGGGAACTATATAATACGAAAAAGATATCATTACAAGTGAAATATCAGAGGGGCCGTGTAAGCAAAGCACGACGGTCCAGGTTTTACAAGAAGCTGCAATGCGCTAAATGCGTGAGACAAAAGATACTATTATACCTATATATACGCGCGGGTGCCACGGAAAACTTTAATGCGCTCGGTCCGCAGCGCAACATATTTTCCTATGTCCTTATATAGACGCGTGTAATTATTGGCGATTAAAACGCGTAGGCATTTTGTGGGGAATTATTACAACAATCTGTCGTGCTGGAGACCTACACTCGTGTACGCGGAGGGAAAAAAGAGAGAAAGAAATAGATGATGCGTAAAAGGTATATTATGAAGTTGCGGACTCGCAGAGATGAGAGAGCGAGCTTCAGGAGGCCATATTGATTGAGCTCCACACACTCTCTCTCTCTCCCTTTGCGCGCTGGGTTAGCCTTAGCCACGTATTTTATACATATACGTGTATACATACAAGTTAGCTGGGCCGATCCAGCAGCGCTGATTGTGTATATATATATATATATATATATATAACCGACCCCATGCATGCGCCCTGTGGGTTTTGTAGCTATCATATAGCTGTATCTCCCTTTATCGTCCTCTATACCTCGCGCGCGCTCTCCTCCTCGTTTCTTGCCACCATCTCCCCCCCGAGACATAAGTATATACTTATACACTCTGTAAATGTTTTACTGTTCACCGTTTTTTATTTTTTTCCCAAGTCCGCGATCCCGATTTTGGTCAAAAGGTGTACCTCCTTGAGGAATCGTGCGGTACATGTGACATCGTATATATACTTGTACCTTATACTATAAGCGGTCGTAAAGGGGGAAAAAAAAGAGGCGTGGTGATACCGCGCGGACGATGTCGATCGACGGATTGTAGGTGCTTTCCTGACGCGGTCACGCTACTGCGCTCCGAAACTTTTTACCTATTTTACGTTACATACGTAAAAATCGGCGGTGCAGCGACTGCTTTACACAAACCTAATGTCAACAGTTATATTGTCGAACGCGAACGGCAATTGAACTACATTTAAATGGTACATGTACACATTTTGAAGTATCTATATAGTTTTTTTTTTGTGTTGAGGATATATGATGCGAACAAACAAGTTGAAGGTCCTTTACACAAAACAGAGCTCATGATTAACAAAAGTTATATATATGAATAGGTCCAGGTCGCCGGTCTCCGCAGTACAGGCTGTATATACGAAGATAATTTGTATAACCATACACTCACTTCGCCCAGTATAATATATATACGCGTTTTATCGCTGCACTACGAACACGATACGTATTTTTTGATAGGTTCGAAACGTGTATACAATTATATATATACATACGATGATCTATTACAATGTACGCCATCAACAGCTGAAACATGGGTTTACGTACATGCACATCTAGTAAATTATACATATTATCTCAGTCGATCCGCATGGTGAAAAAGTACTCGCTCATTCGGTATAGTATTATAAAGTATCTCGTTTTATTAAACCACGTGTTGTCCTACTTACAATATGTAAATTTATCATATAGCAATATATATATATATATTATGAAAATAGTCCTAATGGAGCTATACGTGGTGGCGGGTATCACACGAGGTATACCTATACGCGTAAAATATAATCGATCATGATGCTGGGTCCCTCTCTCTATTGCTGGGCTACTCTCTCTCTTCGTTTAGAGAAAACGCATAGCCGTATAAGTACGTGGTGGTACGCCCTATTTTTGGCGTGACATAATACACATACTTATCCCTCGTAGGTATATTATGTACGTGCTTCAAACATTATGCTAAACTATCTGCGATGATCGTTGATGATCATTAAGTTGATGTGTGCCTATACTAAGTACAGCCTACATGGACCGTACGTGCAATGACGACGATGCACGACAACTTTTCGTATTTAAGTATATATATATATATATATAATGCAATACGACTAGACGCGCTACAAAATATATATATTCGGATATTCATTTTTTGTAACGATAATCTTTCCATCGTGATATTAGTAAAACGCATTACGTAATTGTGAGAGCTGCATATTCAAGACACCGATTTTTACGGTACCTCAATGAATTACATGGTGTGTACGCATAATATGTGCACACGTCGATCGTTTGGTAAGTATATACTTAAAGTGATGAACAAAACTGACGAGTATAGAAGAAGAATTAGGGTATTCCTGATGCAGAAGTGATGGATCGACGTTAAAATTTAACGATGACCATTTGCAAATTCACCCATGCCTGCGGTCATCTATACGTTACTGACGATTTCTCGCACATGTAATAAAACACAAACACATTTATAAGTTGTGCGACGACGAGAGCACTTTCCTGCAAATATCTCAAATAAAAAAAAAAATAAAAAAAACATACAATCGCATCCTTATTGAAAAATGACAAACCATAGTATATATTCATGCATAACATAAATAATAATAATATTAATTGTACGTACACTTACTTCGAGGATCCAATTGTTGCAGCCAAGGAAAATTTCAACGATGGTATTTATATATATATATGTAAATTGATTATTTTCGCCTATGCTGCATTCATTATGGGTAAGTATACTTTAGACGAGACTCGATGAGATCGATAATAACACACGAAATGACCGTATGGTGATATTTTTTTTTCTCGGCGCACGTATGTATAATAACCAATAAGCTACCTATTGGTTGAAAAAATTGTGCGGCGAATTGCGTATTTCTGGAAAATAAAATAGTTAGGTTAAGTGGCGTGTAGTTCTTATTCCTTTCGACCCTCTCGCCTCTGGCTATACAATGTGCGTCAATCTGCAGCCTCTCGACAAACTTACCTATCTCATCGTGTATCAACTAAGTATACGAGCAGCGCTCAACAATATATTTCAGCGTTCGCCTTTACACTTTGTGTTCTCGGCCCGTGTGATAGATATACCTTTTGATAAAACTAAATTTCACACTAACTTTACTCTCGAGTCGTTACCTCGTCAACTTTGACTTACCGATTAGGTATAAATCGTTAGCAAACCGAGTAGGTATAGTGCAATTGCCGAGTTATGGTGGTTTTGCGTAGTTTTCGACGAACGTGTGCTCGGTTGATTTTTCCTCAAATATATATGTCAATAGGATATACAGGTTGTTCAAAATGGCGATTTTCGTTTACAGTACTTACTTTTTCATCTATATTATATTAAGGTAGAAAATTCGCGGACTGCGTTAATCAAGCGAGTGAAATATATAAATACATAATTTGAAAGGATCAAAATAAAGTGCAAATTTCCAAGAGTAGTACAGTATTTTTTATAAAAATAGTTTGATTTGTTATGTGTGTCTTTGAAGCTGTTATTGCTGTATCTTATTACAGCCCATGTTGAAAAACGTATTTTAAACTCAAAAATATTAAAAACTATAGCATTGTTACATTACTTTAAACAAAAATTTTCCATAACATAAAAGAACTGAAGAAACGTTTGATTTTTTGTTGGTGGCGATGAATTCGCTCATAAGCAGTGGATTTTCTGTGACAATAAAAAAAGATTTTTCCGCCCTCGGGTGGTTTTGGGAGGCTGGTACTTCCTCGGGCGAAAAAGCAGTTTTCCGGAACTCGTTCGAAAAGTCTCCTTTACGAACCTCGTCTTCGACTCGGGCCGCAAACGTCTCGGTTCGCAAACAAAGACTTTTCAAACTCGTAGGAAAACTACCATTAACGCGTAACGGTGTACCTACTACGTGGTCAACATGCCGTACGATTCGGTGTTGAAAAATAATAATTAGATATGTTTCTTTATGCGGAGATGTGTGTTTGCTGGGAGGAGTAGATGAAAAATAACAAAAACTTGCTCCACACCATATCTAAAATAAAATATCAAATATTGCTCAGGTTTTATTTTGAGAAGACGGAAAACTGGTGAAATAAGTAGGTATACTCACGATTGCAGATGACCTCCTCTACTTTGATAATCATTGCCACACAGATACTTGTACTCTTCAAGATTTTTAATTTTTGAATTTCATGGTATTGCACTCTTCCGAAAAGTTACTATTTTTCAGTATTTTGGAAACAAAAAAAAATGATTACCGTAGTGACACTTGGTTTATGAATAACCCACATAACGAATGCACGGCGCCATATAGTATAGCAATACATTAAAATATCAAATATTTTTTTTTTTTTTTTTTATGTTACAATCTATGAGGCATCTGGGTAATGCCTCACAATGAAATAAAATATTGCTCGGATCGTTGAAAATTTCAAACTACCGGTATTTCGACGGTCAAAATAACTAGGCGCATGGCAGAAAATCTGATGTAACAATTGTAATCATCATTAACTTGCGTAAGTCATTACTTACGAGACACTTTGACTCAGGAGCCTTGATTGTGGTGTTTAGAGGACATGAAAAATTGAGCTTGGTTGTGACATGTATTTGCAAAAACCAAGAGGCGTAAAACATTACGAATTGTAAAGTTACGTGGGTATATTAAACAGGTTTTTTGTTTTCAGGTTCACAGGAATGTCATTTGGGTTATTGGGTGATAAAATATAAAAGTTCCATGGTTAGATTTGTATAAATATAAGTTTATTTACATTGCAACAAATACTCTCATTGACTCAACGAAAGCGAAAGTTATAAGTGTTGACTGATTATACAGTTAATGTACGAATATTACATAATTAAAAATGATAATTACAACGTTTTAGCTCTGGGAGTACGACTCTTGATGTTTCGTTCGAATATATTACAACACAGACAAAATTTAGTTTCATCAAAGTTCGAACTTAATACATCTCTTCAAAGACGCTACTCACGTAAAGGATATATATATATATCTTTTTTTTTTGTTTCATCATTGCACTATAAAAACTTACATCCTAAGATACGGGATCGCAACTTGTGCGATTTTCGAGATATAATCGTCGATCGAGATTACTCAAGCTAAATATCAAAGCACAAACGGCGCTCTCTCGCGAATTATACATAAATGGTTAGAGCTCATCATGGGTAACATCTTGTTGATTAAGTTGAAACAATAATAGATGCGAAAAAGATGAGTTGATGGGATCGTTACCATCAAAGTAATCTATCGTCAACCAGATTACAAGAGATCCTTCTAGCTTTCTCCCAACACCGTGGTGTTTTAAAATATCTATTTTTATACAGTTTTCATTATAAAAATTGATAAAATACTTGACAATCGTTTTCAAAAGCGTTATAGTTCACGATAAAAATGAATAACTGTATGCACATAAAACACGACAATACATCGCAATAGATGTATGTATAGGTATATGAACACATACTTATACATACATGAATAAATTTAATATTGAAATATGTGTATTGATTAATATTTCACTCATAATCTGACTGTGACTTATCATCAAGTTTTAATATCAGTTGATGTCTCGAAGCAACTATAGCGATATTTGATCAATCAAAAAACAAAATTGAAATTTCATTCGAAAAATCATCAATGCGATCAGAGTTTCAACAGTTATAAATAATATTTTCTCATATAAACATCAATATATACAAATAAAAGTTTAAAAGATACAATAGCAATCACAATACTTTATAACTAATAAAACTTCAACAATATAATCGAATTGTTACGCATAAAAGTTGCAATTAAAAAATTTTCACAGAAATTTGCCGTATCAAAATTTTGTTTTTCCCCATTTAAAATACTATGCAAAGAAAAAAACGAATAAAAATGTACACGCGTAAATAATAAAATAGGAACGATTTACGCGCCTCGTTATAAAAAAAAAAAAAAAAACTTTTTTTGTTTTCATTTTCACCAATCCTAAACATTTCATCGTAACCTTATAGAAAAATTTTTAAAACGTACAATAGGTACGTCATTTTCATAATACATCCGTATTTAACAAGCACAGTATAAAAGTTGAGCGTCGAATTGGATACGTCTACGAGTCCATAAATACACATATCGATAAGAGAGAATCCACACGGGAATTCATTATTTCGATTCAATATCTCCTCTTTTTCGTCCACGTAGGGCCCACGACAGAGTAATAGGATAACCTTGTGCAGAAAAAGGACACGATTCTAAACAAATACACATGCGACTGTTCTTCTCCAAGATCACAAATGTATGTGATTGTGTGTGTGTGTGTACATAAAAAATCACTATTTAATTATTAGGCGCTCGGAAAAGATGTGCTCTTTTCTCTCTGCGACGAGCACGTGTCCTACACAAGCATCCTTTACATGGTTTCCTTTGTTAACCCTCTTTGTTAAGTGTTATTTATTTATTCATTTTATTATTATTATTATTTTTTTTTTTTTCAAAGAAATGACTTTATCCACTTGGGCAGAAAACCTGAGCATTTGACTTCCGCGCGACAAAGTGCGACCGCACACTTCTGTTGGCGTGGTAGTAGTATGGCACGGGTGAACAGTATGACTGGGTGGCTGCAATGCCGGCACCGCCGCCGCCGGGACCGTGTTGTTATGGGGGCGGCGGTCTCCTCTGGAGTTCGGGTGTACCGAAGTGCTGCAGCCGCGAGTACAGGTGCTGAGGGCTACCTGGTACCGAGCTACTCTCCGATAGACGTCGGGGTGGCGGCATCGGTGGCGATGGTGACACGTATCTAGTATTTTTATTGAAAATCATTAAAACTTGCGCTTGCTGTTTTTAAAAAGACAATTAAAAAAAAAAAAAAAAAAAAAAAAAACAACAACAACAACAACCCAAAGTTACCCCCAGTATATATATACAGAGTATTGATGTGTCACGTTGGGTGAAGCTTTCAAATGCAAGGTAAAAACAACAGAATAGACAGGAAAAGTAACGATGCTCACCTCCTTTGGAAAAAAGGAGAAGCCTGATCGCCCAAATTCCTACGCAAGAGAAGCGGAGACTCGCCCCTATTGAACCTCGGAGGTGGCTCCGGGGAGGGTTCGCGATCGCTACCCAGTCTCAGCCTCACGTACGAGGCAAAGCGCTTTTTCGCCGACTCCTTGTTACTTAACTGTACTTGAGGAACTGTCGAGGGTTCTTGCTTGAGTTGGTGCGCGAAACGGGATATGAGCAACTGAGGACTGGTCGTGCCGGAGCTTTGCGGAGGAGGTTCGGAGGGAAACCTGCAAGCCACGAGTACTTTTTGAAAAAACAGAGCCACGCGAAGTACCATAGGTTTATACATTTACCAAGCGGATTAAGCGTGAGAAAGTTGTCCAGCAAAGCTATTATATACCATCATCTACTCTATACGGCTGATGGCGTGTCAACGAACCGACTCACCTTTTGCGACTGACCATCGGACTTGCGTAGACGTTCTGCAGCTGGCCGTGGTGGTGGTTGTTCTGAGGCACTGAGGTCGGGAGCTGCGCGAGTCGCTGCTGCACGATCGAGGAGACGTACCTGTCGCTGGCCCCGGGTATCTGTATGACAGGCGGGTCGACGTTCTCGCGCCTCCAGGGCGAGTAGTCCCTCGCAAATGGGCTCAGCGACCTCGGGGCTCCCGACTGCCAGCGCTCCCTGCTACTGTCACGGCCGTAGTAGGGCGAGTACGGTCTGGCCTCTGCCTCGGCCAGACTCTGGGTGCCCCGGTAGGGTGAGTAGGAACGCGAGTCGGCACCGTTCAGGTGATGGTTCTCGGCCACGGCCGCTTGGTACTGATAACGGTAGGGCGAGTACGAGCGCTGAAGGTTCGTAGCAGCGGTGCAGCACGCCTGGCCGGGCATAGGCGAGAACGGCCTCGCTATCATGTCCCTACGGCGAAGAGCGTACGGGCTGTAGGGGATGTAGCCGGTGGTTGTGCCATTTTCCTGCAGCGTGGCCGCGGTTCGCCCGATAGCGCTTGGTTCTTTGGGGTTGCTGTTGACGTTGTTGTTGTTTCTCAGGTAGGCGGCCGCCTCGCTGCCGTTGACGCTACTTTGGCTCCTCAGGTGGGCGGTCTGTTTGAGCGATACGTGACCCGAGGGCCGATGTTGGTGATGCTGCGCCGAGTTCGGCACCCTGAAACTGAGACGCCAAGTCAAATGGTAAAGTTCAAACGGGAGATTGGTGGTGGTGGTGGTTGCTGTTTGTTGTTGGAGCTCATAAGCGGTGGTCTACCACCAGGACTAGACAAAATTGTGTTTGAGAGAATTAAAAAAAAAACAGCAACAAATTTCTGCTCGAATGCTATTTACAAAAATTAAATACGTTGTATAGTGTCTAGCCCTGAATACCAATAGAATGACTGCGTGACGATCCGGCTGGAAAGCGGAAAATTTTTTATATGCTGTAAACACTGTAAGTTATTAGTTCAAGTTAGAGCGTTAGTATTTATCCTTTGCATGCACCACAAAAGGAGGAGGAGGAAGAAGCGATCAAGGAGAACGTAGGCATAGAGTTGCAAGTAATGTGAGCTTGGAAAAAAAAAAAAAAAAAAAAAAAACTTGTGCAATATCGTGCTGAAAGAACCTAGGTAAATAACAGAGACAAGGCAGAATAAGCTACAAGTACACATTCACGTGAGAAAATGTAATTGGGAACATAGAGTTCGACATAAACACTGATAATATTTGGTTGCAGAAAATACTAATGAGAATAGCGGAGCAAATTTAGCGGCGAAGTATCATGACAGCAGCACACAGGTTCATTCATGTATAGTACAGAGAGGAGACGACGAGAGATGTACAAAAATACAATACATGTACATGTGACGTTGTTGAGCTTATGATTTGAAATGTATGCGTAGGCGAGTACAAAACGAGTAAGATATAAAAATTCAAATAAATAAAAAAGAATGCTTACCATGAATGGGGGTTGAGGGTGGGGTTGTGTAACAGGCGCGTGCACAAACCAAACAACTCGAAATGAAAATTGGACAGTATTATTGGACGTAATCGAGGTGAGACGGTTTTTTTTTTTCTCTTTTTGCGTGTGATTTGCTAGGTAGGCTTTTTCACTTTCTTTTTTTCGCACTGGTTCTGTTCTTTAATCAATTGTCTTTTTTTTTTCGTGTGTGTCTGGATTTTTTGAGATAATTATTTTCACTTTTAATCTTTTCATTTTTTTTTTTTTTTTTTCTCTTTTTTTCGCTTTTACAGGACAGTGGTTGACGATGGTACTGGTGGTTGGTGATGGTCGACAAGTGGTGGGAAGAAAAACAAGGGCAGAGGGAGCGTGTGTGCGTGTGTATTGGGGGATGCTACGCCGCGCTGCCTCCCTCAAGCTCAACGCTGTAACACAATTCAACACGCACGCAAACGTTTTAATTGGAGCTGTAATTGATGACATGGTTCAACTAGCAATTGGGAAAAAAAAATTTTTAGTACATAAGTAATAAAAGAAAAGGGAAAAAAGATATACGTAAGATTTAATACTACTACTTGTAACGAGCAATTAATCAAAACTGTTTTTTTTTCGTTTTTTTTTTTTTTTTTTTTTTTCATAATACAAACAATATGTAAATCATCACTAAGAAAGAAATTATTATAAACAAAAACGATAAAACAAGATTTCTACGTAACATGACAAGAATAAATAATGTTGTGAGTCAAAAAATACTTATTTCATGTAGCGTATGTAACGTTACGCGATGTACCCGGTTATACAGTCAGACCAAACCAAACGTTACTACATTAGTCGAGGAATAATTAATCATGCCGTGTTTTACATAAATAAAACGTTTAAACTTTCTGTATACGTTTACGATGAAAATCGAGTGAAACGTTAGCACAGTGTTCTGTGCCAACGAGATGAGTAGTAAAAAAAAAAAAAAAAAAAAAAAAAAAAAAAAAAAAAAAAAAAAAAAANAAAAAAAAAAAAAAAAAAAAAAAAAAAAAAAAAAAAAAAAAAAGACATAAAAATACGTAAATATATGTATCATAATGAATAATGTATAAAAAGTATATTAAACAATTCTACGTATAACACAGCTCTCGAAAAAATATACAAAATGCTAAAAAATTTCGAGATCACGCATACCTTGGCTCAAGTTGCCGCATGACCTTGTAAAACCATTGACAGGTTGACGTTGGCAGGGAGGAGTTGGAGTTTTGCTGTGTCTCGTACTTTTTGATAAACGGGTGCTCCATTAATTTGTTATACTTTGGCCGTTGCTTGTAATTTTTCGTAAGGCAACAACTGACGAAACTATGAAATTCTTTTGAGAATAAAGCATCAGAAGGCAGAGAAGGAGGATCATCTTGTACCACCCTACTCAACACCTGTAATTTGACTCATGACTTTCGTTTCACATTTCATAGATCCATCAATAATAGGTGTTTTACCTCAAAATCAGTCTTGCAATCTCGGTAAGGAAATACTCCTGTGGCTAATTCTACTAACGTAATACCTAAACTCCAAACGTCGGCTCTAATATCATAATCAGGTTTCGTGGGGTCTGGTGGATCTATCCTTTCCGGCTGAAATTCAATAAATCATTAACAAAAAAAAAATTACATATTGCTGTAGCACAAAACAATAATTCAACATTTACAGCCATGTATGCAGCACAGCCGGCACTTCTTGTTTTAGCTTTGCTATCCACCAAACGGCCAGAAATACCAAAGTCGCACAGTTTCACACCTCCTGTGTCATCTAACAATATATTGCTGGGCTTCACATCTCTGTGAATAACTCCATGTTTTTCTTTCAGGTACGACAAAGCTTTTACCGTCTGTTTTAACAAACCAATTAATGTTTTCAGTATAATTCTTTGGAATGTTAAAATACAATTCATAGGCATTGAAACACTTACTGCTACTGCTACTTTTCCTAAAAATTCTTCTGGTATTGCTTGTTTGCTTCTTTTTAAAAGTTTGTCTAAACATGTCACCATCAACTCCATGCAAATCCACACGTCGGATTCTGTGATAAAACAGCCAAGGCATTGCACTATGTATGGACAATCATGAGATTTCAAGACCACATCGATGTCCATGATTATCCTTTTGTTTTCGTCTGCATTCCCCGATCTCCTCATCTGTTTCACAGCTATGACTACACCGCTGGGCTTGTGTTTCATTTTAACAACATGTCCACAAGTGCCATTGCCCAATTCTCCCAAGTGCTCCAAGTCTTTCATATCCGTTTGATACTTTACACCATTTATCGTGAGTATACCGTTCATTTTCATGATTTCCTGCAATTTCGAGTCTACTTCGACATCGTGTCTCTTGTACGGTATCATGTGCGAAACAGGCAGATTCAGATTCTTCCTGGGTCTCGTGGGAGTACCAATATCACCGACTGTTTTGCAAAAAATGAGAACATACTTGTTGCAGTAAACTGCATTTTTTTTACAACTAGACTAAGATGTAAAAGACTCGATTCAAAATCACATAGCTGGCTACGTTGAGTCGGAAACATCATGCAAAAAAATTCAAAACACATCAATCGAGTTTTGCGTGTGTCATGTGTGAGAAGATATAAAAAACAAACTCGTCGTCGGCTTCCCCCCACACCGACAAAGGGGTGGGGGGGGGCTATTTTTTTTATAGTCAAGTGTGTCAATACGCAAACACTTGATGGTATCGTATATGGGCAACGTATGACAGTCCAAAAGAATAAGAAAGCTATAATGAGCAGAGGAGGAACGAGTATTTGAATACATACAGTGCAATAAACATAACCTGTACGATTCTTACTTAAGGTGTCGACATTGTATCCACCGGAACATCCATACACTTAAAAAAAGGGCATTTAAATTGAAATAAGCATAAATAAAAAAAGCACACGTTCGCACTGCGGTATCATCGTCACAAACAATAAGATTAATATGTAAAATAATGGATAAAAGCTCACGTTGCTTGGGCCTGAGTGCAGGGCTGAGGCAAGGGCTGGGCATGAGTTGCTGTTGTTGTTGATTTTGGAGCTGCTGCTGCATCTCCGCCGGGCTCGTCAGGTTTTTGGGCTGGGGCTGTTGTTGCTTGTCTTTCTCCGCCCTGAGCCTCTCCTGGAGGTTCAGTATTTGATTCTCCAACGTGCTCGACATATCGAGCTAAATATGATAGCGACGAGCTCGATGGCACTTTCTTGACGGATGCTACAAGTATGCAGCAGCACTGCCTGCTGATTTTGTGGTGTTTACACCCAAACACAATCTCCCACAGAACGACGACAACGACGAGGTGCTTCGCATCACTCCGATCACTCGCTCATATCTCTATACTTAATGCCCTTTTTGGCACTTTGATTTGCACTACACATACATAGTATTACCATACAGACCTAATATCAGGGAGAAATCAGGCAATACTCCGGTCGCTTGATTACCCATCTGTACCCAAGAACAGGAGTACGGGCTATTCCCAAGCGATTGCCTGATTTCGTCTGCTTGTCTGCGCACTACGACTTATCACGGCCCACACAAAAGATGATGTCTAGATAGAGCTGAGATAAAAGTCTGAGAATAAATAAAAACACATTTTAATCGCTCAAGTTTTTGAAACATAAATTTAATCAGAGTACTGTTTCCAATGCATTACATACTAAAAAAAATTGAAATCAAAGAATGGTAGCTGCATTAATGCGGGCAGTGTGGATAGCGTGTCGTTTTTGAAGGAAATAAACAAATTACATTAATAAAGCATTGAGCTCTGAAAAACCGGTGACGAGTGATTTTATATTAACAATACAGAGAGTTTACTGGTTTTCAAGTTTAACTTTGTAATAAGACATTACATTGATTTTGAGAACATGCATCGAATATTGGGAAACGTGATTTAATGACAAACAAGATCATGTGTATGTACAACTTGATTTATTAATATAAATTGAGTTTTATTTTAAAATTTATTATATAAATATAAAGACCGAGTTAGTTATGTACAAACACGAAGATTGTGTAAATTTATTTCTTCCTAATTAATAAGATACTCGTATGTGTTAAAATATTGATTGTTTTTGTTACTTTTCAAAATTTCAATGACAACAATCTTCACTGTATTTATACAGGTTAATCCTGAAGGACAGCTGCATTGGCAGCTATACTTGGATTATTAACGATTTCTCCCAAACTCTCAAGTAGTTCTTTTCTGTAGTCATCAAAGTCACCGTCAATCTCGTTGATGGTTTGATTTTCAATCACGTACAAACAACATTCAGTGTCCCTAATGAGGCGTTCGTCGTGAGACACAATTATAACACCACCCTTATACCTAGTTATGGCTTCACCTAGAGCATCAATAGATTCCAAGTCCAAATTGTTGGTAGGTTCGTCGAGAATCAACACATCTGGAGCGTTTAAGCAAAGTTCAGCCATAGCGACTCTTGCTTTTTGTCCACCAGAAAGATCTTTCATCTTGATGGTGTGTGCGTGTCCGCTAAGGCCAAAAGTTCCCAACTGCTTTCTTGCCTTTTCGTACGGAAGGTCGAACAATCGCATCAGATACTCGGTTGGACTCTCTTCAGCTGTGAGATGTTCTCCAGAGTGCTGGTCGAACCTTCCTATTCTCTGTTGTTGCAAGAAAAAAATTATTGTACACTTGAATTACATTGGAAAGAAATTTTTCAACTCACCAGTCTGTGGTTTTTAATAAGTTCGCCTTTAAGAGGGCTCAATTCGCCTAACAATAATTTCAAAAATGTGGTTTTGCCAACACCATTCGGGCCAACAATTGCAACACGGGAGCTGAGATCTATGCCAAAATCAACGTCGATAAAAAGTGGCTTATGACCTTCAAAAGCAAATGTAACATCTGCAAGGAAATAGTTGAATTAGATTAACGTAATTTTAAAAACATCGTAAAAAAATGGCATACGAATGAGAAATATTACTTTGAAGACCAAGAATAGGAGGTTGAAGTGGCGGAGGATCTGGAAAACTAAACTTGACAATATATTCCTTTGGTTTTTGCAAAAGCTCAGCTGGTCCCGTATCTTCCTCCTGCTTCTGCAATTTTGTTTTATTTTTTTCTTGTTTGCGTGTAAGAGTTTCCTTTTGTTTTTTCTCTGCCTGCTTTTTACTTTGACCATGCGACTTTAAGCTTTTCAACCTTTTTTCTTGCTGCTCGTATGCTTTAAGCATTTCTTTGCACTTTTGTATGAACATCTTTTTGAACATACTGTAATTGCCCTTGTAGTAAAATAATTTCTGCTGATCCAAGTGAATAATATCTGTACAAACATTATCTAAGAAACTTTGGTCGTGAGACACAATAAGCAAAGTCTTTTTCCATCCTTGCAAGTAGTTGTCCAACCAAATAACAGCGTTCAAATCTAGATGATTCGTAGGTTCATCCAACAATAACAATGTAGGCTCTAAAAATAATGCTCTAGCTAGGGAAACGCGCATACGCCAGCCACCAGAAAAATTCTTGGTAGCTCTGCCTTGCATTTCTTTGCTGAATCCTAAACCTGCAAGGATCCTGCGTGCTCTGGGCTCTGCAGAGTCAGCACCAATGGCCTTCAACTCTTCGTAAACCTGGAAATCAAAGTATGATTTTACCATTTTCCATGAAACATCGCATAAATATGTCGAGTCAAAAATATCGCCTGTCCTACCTCTTGTAATCTGTCTTGTACCGTAGTGTCGCCTTTTTCGATCTGATCCTCCAATTTTTTGCACTCCTCTTTCAATTCGTTGCATTTGACATCCGCCTTTAGAACAACTTCAACAGCTGGCGTATTATCCGCCACAACTTCTTGCTCGCAGTACAGAATGTCTATGTTGGGTGGGATGTTGAATTTTCTCAACGCTATGTGACGCAGAAGTGTCGTTTTCCCATGACTGTTGGTTCGAAATGAAAAGAAGGAAAAAAATGCAAAATCACATACACACAGTCAAGACCTACTTTCTAAAATGACAAGAAGAGTGTGGCAAAAGTGACTAAAAAAACATACGAACCCGTTGGGCCCGACGAGACCGTAGCGCCTGCCCTGAGCGATCAAAAGGCTCGCATTGGTGAAGAGCTCCTTGCCCTTGGCAGCGATGCTGAAATTGTCGACCTTGATGTCTATGGCGTTCTCGAGCTGTTGCGTGTTGCGACTCTGGTTCTGGCTGTGCGAGACGGTAAAATTCGACTCGAGCTCGCTGTGACCCTGGCCGCCGTGCTTGGTCATCATCTCGATCGTCCGCTCATACTCCTGCTGCTTCTTCAGCTTCTTTTTTTCCTTGTGGGTGAGCTGCTTCTTCTTCTGGCCGGTCTCCTCGCTGATCTCCAGCTCTGCGACGCTCTGCTCCAGGTCCGACATACCGATTTTTATTTTTGTTACACTTGTTTCGGGCTATCACAGAAACACACGCGAGGCCAACTTTAGTGCGGAGTTGTTAATTTCGAAGGTTTTCGTAATCTGGATTTTTTTTGGCAGCTGCACTTTTACATTTGCCACCTCGCCCAGACCGTAGTCCGAAGAGAGAGTGGTTTTTTGGGGTTACGTCGTGTGATGTAAAACACGCGAGAGCAGCCGCTCAGCTGACGAAGGAAAAGGATAAAGGCAGATCCTTTATTGCCGACAAATGTACTTTTTGTCGTGGAGTGTGGCGCCCTCCAATAATCCTTCGTAAAAAATTTGAAAATCATCAGACGTCTTTTTGTGATTGCCGTTGATGTAAACATCCGATCATCTAATATGTAAATATTGAATGAATAACCAATTTTTTTGTTACATTTGCTTAAAGTTCGTACAATTCATGATAGATCATGCAAACAGCAGCCAGGAATCCGTTGAAATTTGTTTCTTACCTTGAAAAACATCGAATCTACGAACTATTTCAGGTATCAAAAAACATTATTTAAATATTACTCAAACCTTTTGATTGTTTTTCCCGCAAATTAACACTTTTCGTATAAATATCGCTTAGGAACTAAGTACGATGCTGGTGATAAAAAAACCCGAGGATCACCTACTCTTTTTGAAACAAAGTCTACATCACGCAGCTCGAAGACTCGACGTGCCAAGAATCATCATCCTGTCCCAGCCAGGATGTGGTAACGCATATTGTGTATACATATGGATGAACAGTATTACTTGACCACCAGATTTAATCCTTTTAACGATATAGACAAATTACAACTGGCCGGCACGTTGCGAGAACAATTGCAAATACCTTTGATTACCCTGAATGACATCACCTGCTACATTGCATCGGGAAATGGTTCCATCATCGACAATTTGAGGATCATTTTGATGAACTACATGAGCTCCAACTACGATGGCTGGATACTCGTAGGTAAAGGAGATACATTCAATTTACATCTTAAAAAAAAACTGTTTAATAAGTATGTATGCCCTCGATAATTGATTTTCGATAATAGATTTCCCAAGAAACGAAAAAGAGGCCCGCGAGCTCCTGCGCGCTGGACTCGTTCCGACGCATGTTATCGAAATCGTTTCGACTGGTATGTGCATAAAAAAGGATTTCTGTGTACTTTTAAAACGGTTCTCGTCTTGTTTGGTTCTAAGATAGCAAGGATGGCACTCGGGTTGGATGTGATTCGTCGGCAAAGTTTCATCACCATCGGGAAATCAAGGGAATACGACGGGTTTTCACAAAAAGTTTCTTCATGGAGGTTCGGTGAAACAAATTTTGTTTTGATATTCGTTAAAAAATAAATTTCTGTACATCTCTTTTCAGACGGTGAACATGAACGAGCCCATCGACAAAGTCACCGCGCAGTGCTTGAATTCATTTGATCGGAGAAATTACTCTCGTGCTCCTACGACCCTCCGTATACTGTTGATCGATTTCGCGAATGGCGAAACGTTTGAATGCTTGGGCTCGAGTATTGCAAAAGATTTCAACGTTACTTTTAGTAAGTTTATGCGTTTTTTTTTCCTTTCGTAAGATTCTTGATAAGCAATGATTTGTGAACAGAATGATTTTAGTTGATTTTAGCCAAATTTTGGAGCAAACGAGTCTTCAGGAAAACAGTCTGGGGGATGAGTTACGAAAGCTGAAATTGGAAACGGATTCAGATGGATTGCCATCCAGAGTAAAAACGAAAGTGTTCGAGGTATTGAATTAAAAAAAAAAAAAAAAAGTAAATATTGTTAGAGATCAAAATGCGATTACGATTCGAAATGGCGCAATTGAACAACATTTTTTTTCGCATGGTTAAGCTGAATTGGATGACACAGTCTCAACAACCTCCATTAACTCTGAAAAAAAATTGTTTTCAACCGCTTCCAATACATGAGTCGTATTCTCCTACAAAAGCTAGTGATAATTTTATACATTTTTTAGCATTTTTTACTTCAATCTGGTGATTTAGCCGAGGGTTGGTTGCTCACGAACTTTGTCTCCAACGTCGAAGATTTTAAGAACCTCGATTTGACCGATTTTCCACCCAATAGGTGCGTGTATACATACCTATACAGTTATGAATCAGTTACCCCTCGTTACTTTTTTGCAATAGCTTACATGAAAATTTAATTCATTGTAGGATTATAATAGTGGCCAATGGAGTTACAGACAATCAGTCGGATACAACATTAATTTCAAATTCTGCGACGGTAAGTGATTGTGTTGATTAAATGTAGTACATGATGGTTTCCCAAGCTTTTTGATTGCTTTCTAAGCCTTTGTTGATTTCCTTCAGCCTACAACATTTTAGGAGATGACTAATTCGTGTGTACGCAAATTGTACAACTTGAAGTAATGTCGCTTTATTTTTTACAAACAATTGTTTCCCACTATTATTATCATTACTTTTTTTCGCCTAATAAAAAAAAATATATCTTTGGGGATTTTCATGAAAAAACTTTTGAGGGTACTGGCAAACATTTTATAAAGTAATTTAAAAAAATAGTACGATGAACAGAGAAGCGCGTACGTATCTTTTTGGCAGCAGTACACACACATACATGCAGCATTTTGTAGAAATCTTTTAAAAGTTGTAAGATACTTTATCAGAAAAATATCTTTTTTTTTTTCTTTTTCTTCTGATTTCCCCAAAAAACGAAAGTATGAAAATATACAAGCTTTTCGGGAGTCAAACAAATTGTATGAAAAAAAAAAAAAAATACTGCTAGAATCACCTAAAAACAGAGGGTCCTCAGAAAGACGCGAAGACAAGACCCCGTCGAAGAAAAAAAAAAAAAAGAAATCACTTTGAACTTTCCAGATTTGCACCTGCGACGACACCATAAATCTGCAAAGCCAAATTAAAGAGTACGCCGGGAAAACGGGCTTCGTCGTCGAGAGCCGGGACGACCCCAAGCTCGTCGAGGAGCAGATACAATCCTACCTCGTGCTACCCCCACCCTGCGTCCCTCCAAGGACCCCACGAGCACAACCGGATATCGAATCGGAAGACGCCGAATTCGATCCCGACGACCAGCCCGGCGTCGAAGCGCTCCAATGCCTTCGCCGACCCGAGCCCATGCTACCTCTTATTTGATGTCATCCGTTCCAACATACGCGCTCGCGACTGTTGAAATAAGCTATGGGATTAAAGAGACCAACTTGGTTTAAATTTCACCTCCAACTATGAATATTAAAAAAGGTCGACGCATTGAAGTATGAAACCCGATTTCAATATCCAAGGGCAAAACAAGTAAAAAAAGCCCATGCGTGTACGGATACAAATAGAAAAAAAAAAAAAAAAAAAGAAACAACAACAAACAAACATCAAAGGGTCAAAGGTGCGTGTGTAGGGGGTATATAAAGCCATCGGAGCGCATGAAACACGCCCACGCACGTGGGAAGAGCGGATGGGAAAGCCGCAGAGCGACACCGGGGCTAATGCGCGTAATTGCCTCAAACGCGAAGAATATTTCGGGACGAGGGACTCACGCGTTGCTGGAGGTGGCACCGGTGTGTGTGTGTGTGTGTGTGTGTGTGTGTGTTTGTGTGTGTGTGTGCTTACACGTGTGAAAAGGACGAGGGAAAGAGAGAGAGGGCGGCCACCCGGTGCGCAGGACTTTGGACTATATATATATATATATATCTTTGTCTCCAACGTCGNCGACGATGCGTATATATATATATATATATATATAGTTACGTAACATGTGCGTGATTGTACGTTATACATGTAGCCTCCATGTGCATCACGACGCGTGGTGAAGAAAATAGCGAATCGAAGCGCCCGACACGCCTTTGCGCCCCTTTGATAACAGGATTCCAGGATAGGTATATCTTGCTCGGTGGGGTTGTTTTTCATGCCTCGTGTTATTTTCTTATTGACTTGATTTCGTTTGAAGCTGGGATTTTGACAAATACAAAATGACTTATTTCGATTTGTGGAATTATCAAATGAGATCAGACAGCTGTAACGGCGATGTTGGAAATTACAATGTAGGTATTTTATAGCCTTTTGCACAGTACGGCAAAAAAAAAAAAATAGACATGTTCGACATAAGCAGAGAAGAGTATAATCTTGAATATGATGTCGAGAAAATCGTCTTCTCAATTTGCTAAAGAAGCAAAGGACTGATGATGAAAAAAGTGTCGAGTGAACAATTGTCGATGTACTCTGAAACTACAACTACTATTAGGAAGAAAAAAAAAAGAAGAGAAAATTTACTTGATTTCAATATCAATCAGACTTCACGTCGAAATGTGAATAACCGAAGCAAAGGAACCCTATTTAAATTGGTTCTCCTACTCTCCTAAGTCGGAGTCATTCTCAAGCTACATTTAATCAACCCCTTAACACCATCGTTGTATCGCGTATACAAAAAATGTCGCTGGTTAATAATCCCTAGTGTTTATACTTGAGCTTTCAAGAATAAACAAAATAGAAATAAGAGTACTGCCAAAAGCTCGGTAGATGTATATATGTTTATAACACCCATCGACACGATTGCTTGCGAGAAACATTTATCACGAGACGGACGCTCACGCCACGCATCATCGTTTTAATGTTTAACAAATATTTCATATGTTAGATTATTGACAGTAGTAACCTTCCACACCCAAGTTCATTCGATTGGCTTCGATCCCCATTGAATTTCCCAGGAAGTAAAAATAAAAACCCTCGAATCGAACAAAAAAAAACGCCTCCCGAGTCCTTCTCGTTAGCCACTGGGGTATATAATTTATACCTACGAGAGCAGCGCATCTAACACGTGGAAATCGGCCGGAGCACTGCCAGGACAGTATCACGCTCTAGCTGCAGGACACTCGGGCGAGAGCTTGCGCGCAAGCTCCTGCTCGCCTGATCGCACCCAACGCCCGGGCTCCACTTACGTCGCTCATCCGTCAACCAAATACATACCCGAGAGCATCCAAATGAAGCGTATATATATATATATATATTATGCACCCCCCCGTCAACCTGCATGCTCACCTGGTCGGAGCCAACGCCCCGCTCCCACTTGGCTCTCGAAACACGTGCGCCTTACCTCGTATAGGTACATATCCCACTTGCGGGGCTCTCCGAGAGCCATCGGCGTCCTTGTGACGCGCGGGACGCAGGATATATCAGCGGATGTCCGATTCAATATGTATATATACATCGCTTCAGTGCTGGGTGTAGGGAAACGCGTGCATACCATACAAAAAAAAAAGGGGAAAAAAAAGGGGAGGGGGGTATCTACGTGCGAGGAGAATTTTAACGCGGGGGAGTCGAGACATGTTTCTCCACGTGGATAAGTTGCCGAATGGCTCCACCGACGCAGATAACACGTGGTCGACCAGGAATGCAGGACGATTGCGCGTTCGTTCGCTCCCGCGGGATTTCACCCAGCCAAGTTGGCAATTGGGACTTGGTGGCGTGTATTTGCGTTTTGGAAGGAAATCATTTTTGGTTTAACTTTTCATGCGCACCTGTGGCTACGGGATTGCTGTGAGAGGGGTTATTTCGCTGGAAATACACACATAGTTTTTAAGATCGTTTTATCAAATTTTTCGGAATTTTTCGAGTTGCTCGTGAATAAACAAATTTTTCAAACTTACCTCCTCTCCTCGTCAGTTTTTTTTTTTTTTTTTGTC